TGCCTGGGCGAATTTGAACTACTTCAGCAATCATTCTATTTTACTTTACTCACACAAATCTTTGGTTGTTAAATCTTCCACCTGTGCTTTTTTTTTTTTCAAAAAGAAGAACTTTTCTCTAAATCTGATCTAAAAGAAACACTATGTTGATCTACGGATTAATTAGCTTAATCAGATATTCTTTAATCTGTGTTTGCGTCTTTTATTTTGTCGTTTCCCAGATGCAAAAAGGTTCCAATGCACATTTTCAAATGCATTCACGAGGAAACACTGCAAATCCTTCCTATTGTCATGTAAAACGGCTTACAACAGAGTTTACTGATCCCATTGTCTTAATGCACATCTCAGCATAATATAAACAATTAACCCCATTCTTCCATTGACATACACTGAAACAAAACGGTGTCTTTTATTTGACTTTAGTCATCTTGTGAAGTTTTAGTTGGTAATCCCTTCTCCTCGACTGTAAAGGAAATTCTCACTTAAGTTTTCTGTGACATTATGTGCGTGGAGACCGTATCCTTAAACGAAGCGGATGTAAAATATCTGATTGAATAACAATTAAACGATAAAACCTTACGAAACTAACATGTGCGGTCACGTCTCAGAATATCTACCAGGAAAATTAGACTTTAAATTACCTATGTGTCCATCATTGCAAATACAGCAATTAAAGGGTAAAATACCATAAATAGAACTCGGTTTTCATAATTTTATCTCAATTTTAATTAGCCAGGGTATCAGAATAAAGTGAAATATATCAAAAATACTTTTATTAAAAACATTGTTGTAAATATGGCATTATTCGAACGCAGTGCAAATCATCTTTATTCAGATACTTTATGAAAATATATTTTATTTCCTTCACAGGAATACAACAGTTCTATAACATTATTCCAACCAATATTGAGCTTTTAGCAATGCCGTCCATTTATTACTGTACGTTAAAACAATTATATTCCTAAAATGATCTACATTCACATCATCCATCTCCTACCGAGTAGAAAATTATATACCAGTAATTCATCATGCACAATGATAATATAAATAGACTTTTCAATTTAAAGACTGGGATATAAATAGTATCACTATATTTGATTGAAAAAGCCACTCTTCAAGAGTTTATTCAATAGAGATAAAATCTGACACGTAGAATCGAATTAAATTCTTTTCATTTCTGTAAAGCATGTCGAAATACGTGGTATTAAAAAAGAAACAATACGTTTTTAGATACTGCAAATTAAATATGGCCTTCTTCAACTGTTGAAGCGAATTCAAATCAATTTTAAATTGAATACATCTCATCTTATATAAATAATTCTATACCCGAGTCACGTAAACAAACCTAATTAACAGATTATCATTAAAACCATATGAACATGTAAATTTGTAAGCTTAAAGATAACAATAAATACAAAATCTCATGCTTCAAACATTGCCCTTTAAATGGGACGCATGGTATAATATATTTGTTAAACATACATTATGTAAGAGCTAAATCTGCATATTGCAGATCTTTCTTTAGGTCTGAAATGTTACATAAACTATTAATTAGACATAAACATCAGAAGACCTTAATTAACACTCGATGCCATTTATGCGTTGGATTTTCACTGGATTTGAATCCGATCTGCAGCTCAACGCTCACTGATGATTAAATCCGAAAGTGGATAATCGAGACTATGTTTTTCATCGCACTAACTTTAGTAATAATGATCGAAGCTAGGCGTAAAATTCAATCGCTAATATCTCGGTTCAGAGTGGAGCAATTTGACTGACATTTTTCAGCATATTCCCTTTACATTATCTAGTTTTTAATTATTATAGTGACAACTGTCAGCTCTTTATCTAATCTTCCTTTAAAAATGAACAGGAAGCATTGAACGGCATTGCAATTTATAATTTAGCAATTGTGCTGGCCGATAAATCTGATGACTGAATAATGTGTGTTAATAAATATCAGTTAAAACTGTTCTGTTCTGTCTTTCTTCTTAAACATATCATCGAACATCAATGCCATATGTGCATATTTAATAACCATACTGCAATCAAATTGGTGGATATCAACAAAACTATGCGAGTCACGATAACAATGTCATGTGCGAAGCCTCACCCCCCCCCCCCCCACCCTGCAAAAAGTCCCCCTCCCCCTTGTGAAAAAATTGTCGACCATAAAAAAAACCTAAATATACAGTTCCCGCCCCGCCCCTCGTTGCTCTGCGCTAGTAAAGGACCTGATATGTTGCTTTTACGGTCATCTACCAAGCATTTCAAAGCCCAATTTATTGATAAAATATTAGACGATTTTGTTTCCTAAAAAAGTCATTATAATTAATTTATTGCTTTCTTGTATTCTGTATTTTATTAAATTTATGAAATTGATACAGAAATGCCGCTTATAATAATAATATTATGTCCACATCTCCATTCAACTGCGGAATAGGCAAAAATAATATTTATAATGACTAATCAAAACTAATATTAAAACAATCCAGATTCAATATGTAGTTTGTGCAAAATAAATATTTAAAAGTCAAGACTGCAGGTCGGTTATTCCATACGTCTGTAATTTCCAATGATGGAATTGCCCCTGGTGTATTTATACGAGTATAATATAAATATTGATTAACAAATATGACTTCTATTGTTTATTATTGTTTGCTATTATTTGTACAAAGGAATTTTATTAATTTTAACTAAGTTTATTTATGTGTAAAATATGGAAGCGTTTTACAAAGGGGGGGGGGGGGGCATTTTGGTTTTAAGAGTTAATTTGATCTATCAATCAAAATTAGTTTAAGAAACCATAAAAGATAAGAAATGGAGTAGGCCATTTTGAGACTAACATAATAAATTATCATATTATTTGAGTACGCATGACTATATCAAGGGGAACAATTTGCTCGGACAGTGGTGCTTTCGCCTACTCGTATTCGAATTCCAATTTTTATACAGACCCTTTTTAAATCACCTATTTCCTCTGTACTGTCATGGGGGCACGGTGGCTCAGTGAGTAAGACGTTGGCTCCCTAGCCTGGATTTCGCGGGTTCGCTTCCGGTGTTGACCGATTAAGTTTATCGGGATTTTTCGGCGGAGATTTTCCCTTGTCAGTAGTGCAAGATGGAGGGCCTGATAAGAACAGCTGTCTAGTCGTTCTGATCGGACGAAAAACCGAGGTCCCGTGGCAGTTCGAATTCGATATAAGAGTAGGCCGTAGCGCCGCTGTCCGGCTAATATTTAATTCCTAGCATACTGTATGACACATGCCTGTCTTCATTAGCCCAGTCGGAACAGAACAGCAGAACGTTAAACCCCTTACATTGCATTTCATTTCTGTATTCTCATACCTGTTTGTTTTGAGATAAAATATAGTACTGTTTAGAGTTGATCTGATGTGTTATTTCCATTAACGATTTGACAAACGATGTGGGATTAAACTTTTTAAGATTAAGCCGACTTAACGAATATTAGTTTCAATTTTGCAATGGCTTATTGTGTCGGCATTGCAACACAAAATCCGTTACATGTCAAGCAATATAGCTTCCATCCCACAAAACACACTGAATCGACAATTTTATTTTTGAACCAATTCAATCTAGTCATTTTAAAGTGTACAAATACAATGTTGTTGTTTTTTCAGTTTCCCCCAAGTTTACTTTTATGTTATTTGCCCTTGTGACCTGTACTTGTAAAACTAGTGACAGCTTATGTTATGTACTGTTGTATAGTTGGCACAAGAACCAAAGAAACTGGTCTAACTCGACAAAAACCTATTTCAGTTTGTATGTCCTTGTAATAATTCTCAGGTCATTGTCTGGGCAAAGTTTGGGTAGTAGCATACCAAAAGAATGTACTGGAATGTATATCGCGTTTGCTTTTCAAAAGGATTCCCCCATTCGTAAAGTTATTTCATTCGTTTGCATAGGCGTACGAGCTGGGGGGCTGGGGCCGCCCCCCCCCCCATTTTGGGCACCAAATGCTGTTGATATTTAAAAGAATATGCTGTTCTTGCAGTTTTATGTTCATCTCACTTAAAAACACCAACATATCAAGGTATTAAGGCCGACTTGACTTAAAACATGTTAAAGTGCTCATTTGGATGTTTCTATCTGTTTTTAAGAGTAGATGTTTTTTCTTAGATGGTTGACACAAACCACAGCTTGTAAAGCCGACCCTTACACTTGAAATATTTACTCTATAAGGGAATATCACCTTACCTAAAACACGCGTCAGTTTAGTAATGAAAAGCAACTCAAGAGCTACCGTCAACAAAAAGCAAGTAGCGATTAGCAAGATAAGGGCTTTCTTGACGGTAATTGTGCTTAGAACTGTCGCTAAATTGGATTCTTAATCTTTTGACAAAAATTTGGACATGTTTTATACTGACTCAGAAAGGAACTCGTGAAAAGATTAAAGAGTCCATTATACCCGCCTTCTATAGTTCAGTTGTTCTTCAGATAAAAGTAATTCCATTTTAACAGCCTGGTCCTTGAGTGGTCAACGAGTTAGTCTGTCACTCAAACGAATTTTGTATTGTGCGAGTGGTTGGCTCATCGACTGGCTCACTTATTCCACCAAAATCTGGGAGGGAGAGAGAGAGAGAGAGAGAGAGAGTCGACACGAACTAGGTCATTTCGAGACTAATATATGTTCAATTTAATTTCTTTAATTCGCTTCAGGCTCTTTATCACATACAAGCGGTGAATCAAAACCACACCACTTGGCTCAATGACAGACCTTGTGATCTAACGCGCACACGTTTAGCCATTCGGCCAACCAAACTCCCTACACTGGCATGGAAAAGTGTAAATTAAATAATAATTTGTAAATGAAAATAACCCTTATCATACACGTTTAGTTTGACACCCATATTGTACCCATAGAGCAGTCGTGGTTTACAAATACTGTATGTTTGTTATGTTTTGTAATAAATATAACTTGTTATTATTTGTAAGTTTCAAGATTTGAACAAATCACTGAGGAATATTAGAAAATAGTAATGGTTTTTAAATAATTTTATTCATCATCTTCTTCATCACTATCAGATGTTTCTCTTAATATTGTATTATGTCGAATATTTCTAGGACCATTAGTGCGTTTACCGTCATCTCCTCCACCACCTGAACAAAATAGAAAATAACTGTATATTACAGGTCTTCGTGAATGATCATCTAGATAGGAGTTCCTTGCAGAGTTATTCAAAGACTTCACATCGCGGTACACCATTAAAATATTATAAAGATGTACGATGCTGCCACCGTAGACAAGTCTACACGTTTGTTGGTTTGTTTTTTTAATTTTCCGGGTTTTGCATTGAGTTATCAATGAAGAAACAATACGTAATTCATAATTTTCCTGATCGCAAAAACAGAGTTATCTCCCCGTTTACGTTTAGTTGGGAAGCGATTTACCACACCACAGGCCTGACATCTGGATAAAAATGTTCATAATGTTATCAAACAGGTTTTGTGACTTTTACATTATCTTCTTTGTATGGGCAAATTAGAAGTATGAACTTACGATTTTCTCTCTCAATTAAAAGAGTGCGAGGAATAATAACTTTAGCATGTCTCTGCCATCTTACTTTTGGTTCCTTTAACACAGGTTGGTGGCAACCTAAAATGGCGCTATACATTACGTTGAATTGCGTGAGTTGAAAAGCAAGAGGAATCTTGCGCATGACTTTGAACTCATCCAATGTGTTACCCTTCAATACTCGTACTCTAAATTCTTCAGCATAAATAACCTTCGAAATGAGGAACAGGTTCCTGGTGTGGAAATTGTTGACTAATGAAATAAACATAAATAAATAGGGTGGAAATATTTTGAAGCAAGTGATATAAGCGGGCTTTAAACCCCAGTGTACCAACAACGATTTTTCAAACTCCAATTTAACAAGAGTTTCTTTAGATAAAATTTTGACACCATCTTGGGCACGATGTTCATGGAGGTGTAATCAAAAACAAATTTACATGGCCATAACTTAGGTTAAGAATTTAATATTTTTGAATAATAAATATGCTTTTAAAGACTACAATAAGGTGGCATAACAATTTTGAGTACCCATTCCTGATGATAATAGATGAAGATAATCATAAATAATTAATGATGCATTATTGCAGGCTTTTTGTCTGGCTTCAGATGTTATGTAAATTATTATTTAGACATGTTTGTTTTATTCACATGGCAATCCCATAATCAACTCTTTTAGAGTGGATTAGGCAAAGTGCGCCATATATTTTGTTGCTCGTCAAGAAGCCACTCGCGAAGATTGTCGATTGAAGGACTGAAGGACTGAAATCGAGACTATTTAGGCTATTTCATGTCAAAACGTCAAACATTCATCCCTTCGCACAGAAATAATATAATTTGACTGAAATGTTTAATATCGAAATCTTACATTATGTATCTTTCAACTGACAGAAACAAATTCGCCATGGAGATAGAATCCGAACACCAATTAGTGTTCTTAGGTGTACTAGTGAAAAGTTAAGATATTAAAATCAACAGCACCGTATACAGGAGCCTAATCGTATAGTCTAGATAATAATGATAATGTCAAACGTAACACACCACAAATAGAAGGAGAAATACATCACTTCAAATCAGGGTTTACCAAACTCAACCATTACTAATCCCAACAGACAGAAGTATCACCTCCAACAATATTACCAACCAGAGGTGCGAACTCGAGAATTGAATCGGCCTGATTATGTTTTGTACCCTTTTCGATTTTTTGAGAATTTTAAAGCCCCGCTTTCCGTTATTTGGGTAAAAACAAAATGAGAATGACAAGGCATATCTATTGTTGTTTGAATACAGAGTGTGAAAAATATTTCGCGTGGATATAAAATTGTCTCTAAATAAACTAAGTGCATGTACTGTGTCTGGGTTGTTTTGTGATAAAGGGGAAAGCACTCTGTTTAGGTTTGTCGGTTTGATTTTTACGAGTTGAATTTTGTTGAATCCTCACACCCACCGTAAGCTCGCACATTGTGCGAATACGTTAGAGAATTAAGAGTGGGGGACTACTCTTACTGACCTATTAAAATTAAAGCATATCACTGGTGTGAAAAGCCACAGAAATGTAAATCAAATAAGTTGGCATGTCGAAAAAAGACCGCGAATAACACAGAACCTACTGTTTATGTGCTGTTATTTATTCGCTTATATATAGTCGGAAAAAAAATATTATCGATTTGATAATACAACTATATACAATGACATCGTGCATGTTCAAATGGGATTGTAGCCTATGCAAAGTTTGAGACAAATAGCCTATATCTAGGCCTCCGCCGTCAATATACAAGCCGGGCAAATGTTTTTAGCGGTTTTCAATCAGGCTAACGACTGCCTGTGAAAAATATCTTACTTTCTTGGCGACAGTGACATAAGACATATGAAGTAAATATGTAAATTATAAAAAAAAAAAAGGTTTTTACTTACAAAACGGTGTAATATCAATCATTATATCGCCGTCATTTGGTAAATGAGATATCTGATACATCGATAAACCGATTATTCGAACTGCAGCCGTTTTATTTCCAACATTACCAAAGACAATGGTATCTTTAGGGAGTCGTTTGTTGACTCTCTCTGGGCGAGTTAATTTAACTCCCTCTAAACTACTTACATCAGATCTGATCATCTCTTGTAACATGTTAACCGCGACTAGTTCGTGAGATCTACGTAGAATCCAGTCTAATATATTGCTTCTTTTCTCTAAAATAACGGCATTTAATTCAAATCTGTTGGCTTCATCTAAATGCGGTACTACGATGAGTTCGTCCCCTTAAAAACAATAATTTATTTATAAAAAATTCCATTTTTTGGATAATATCTAATACACACTAAACTGTACATTTAACATTTACAGATACATTATGTCAATCTGTTTCACGGAGTATTACGAAAGCCTTCTAATATCTCTGTAAAAAATGACTGCCTTCGACACGACATGGCGTCATATCACGCAGCGTCAATCATTGGCTCAATGGCGCTTGCATTGTTTACATAAGACTTACTGATTCGAGCAGAATGGCGTCTTTTACTCCTTTTAATACCCATTTACACTAAAACAGGAAATATTTCTACCTACAAATGCTTCAAACCTCTTTATTTATTTTTCTAATACATAAAAAAATGTTTTAGAATTTTAAAATTTGTGGGAGGACAAAAGTTAATAGTTGTTGCTCAGTGATTGTCGCGGCCTAGCGAATATTCACTGCGGATCAGTGTGACATTATGTAAGATTTAGAAAAGAGCTGACCATTCTTGCTATTATAGTTCAAAAATAGATAAATGAAATATTGAAAATGTCATTCAAATTACTTCATTCTGATTCTGAGCCATGCTATATCACCGTTTGTTGTTTTGACAAGATGTGTGCATTGTGGTAACCAGGGCGAACCGTTCTAATTTAGTTAAAATCTCTACTATCCGATGCCATCTAGAGTTGATTATGGTCTTGTTTTGTTAATAAATGTTCAATTAATAGTTTATATAACATTTCAGGCCTAAAGAAAGACATGAAATAGACAGATTTAGCTCTTGCATAATGTGCACGTAATGCGACATACTCACTTTGTATGGTAGCTGATTGGTATCATGTCGTGATGTCGTGGTGTCGCCCATCATAAGGCGATAACTGGACAACCCGACATCACGACTTTTTAACCCGAGACAAACAACAAACCGTCATCACGACAAGCGACATTACGACATTACGGGTTGTCGTGGTGTCGTGATATCGGGTTGTCGTGGTGTTGGGTTATCGCCCATATTCCTCTGAATACTATGATTATTAGTTCCCCGGGATTTTGCAGCGTGGTTTCTCCCTGTCGATAGTGTAGGACAAATAGGGTCTGGCAACGTACAGTGTCTAGTTGTGTAGATTAGATGGGACAAAAACAAGCTCCTGTGAATATACACATTGGCGTGCACATAAAAGAATCCTTCACAGTTGAATTTCGATGATGTCGTGAGGTCTTGTTGTCAGGTTGTTGCCTTATGAAGGGCGACACCGCGACACCACGACATCACGACATGATACCAATCAGCCACCATACTTTTGGACAGTTACACAGAGAATAGGTTTCAATGAAATCTCAAACAAATTTGTAAGCCGATTTATCCAACTAACTCGCGACAATTTTGATTGTAAAGATTTTAAAATTTGATATTCCATTTGATCAACAATCTAAAATAAATGTTTTGAAATGAAGACTATATAACTGAATATAGGACACGTCTATTATAACCAGTATTTCTTTTATGAAGAATATTTATTATTTACCAAACAATTTCTTTCCCACATCTTCTCTGATTAAATTCCAGCATTTTTGTGGATCGCAACTCTTGATTTTCTTCACAATATGATCATCTAATAGAAATGTTTTTACCATAATTATACTATTGTACTATTTTCTGATATTTTTGTTTAATTATTATACTTTTACGAAGTATCTATCGGCTCCTGCTTTTCTACATAGCGTGATACACGAATGCCATAACTGTGACGTCATAATCGGTTCCGATAACATTAGGATGGGCTTGATTATTCATAATACCGCTTATAGAACAATTTGAACTTGTGTTGGTATTTTTTATTTTATTTTAAAATTCATTTCTTGACGTAATATTACTATTATCTAATCGAGTGTAGGATCGGGAAAAAATTAGAGGCTACATTAACGGAACATCGTTTGGTGTCTGGATCAATCTGATTACAATACAGATATATAATTTCGTTTCGTTTTTTTTTATACTTTGGGTGGCCTTCAGATGCAGAACAAAATTTTGATCAATTATAAAAACGAAATAAAATAGCATCTGTGTTTTAATCATAAGGCTGTCTGTATTCTCCCAATCAAACACAACCGAAATTTTGTAGCCGTTTACTTGTTAGTAAAAATCAATTGCTTCCTTTTTGTGGTATGCCTAAATTCCATTTTTGGTCATTATCTAATATAATCGTTTCAAATAGAACAAATCTATTGCATTTTTTAAAATGATAGGTGCAATGAAATGTCTTAATTGATTTTTTTTAAAGATTTAAATATATTAATTGTTAAATTTTGTTTTAATTAGTCGTTACTTAATGCATAATGCCTCATTTGGATATAAAAATATATGATTATCAATTAATTCTGAAATGCATATTTTCTAAACATTGGAAATCTTGTCGATTTGGACTTGATATGTGCCCCAATCAATCAAAATTTAATGGTTGAGAGCTTGACCCATCACAAATCAAATAGCAAATATTATATTAACACACCACTTGATTTGGAATGGAATCAAGGAAATCCAGCCCATTTAAAATGTTATGGCGCAGTTGGATCTTGGAATTTATTACATTCGTCATAAAGCTCATTCAAGAGGAAAATCTATTCAATGGATTAAGCTTTTTACTTCCCGGACGAGTTCGGTCACACTTAACACCAGCGCTCGGCCATCATAAAACCCCCTCAACTCCCCTTTACCTACAACTTAACACGTACAGATCATTTTAATGTTTACACCGCAATCATTGACTTTAGTTTACCTTTTCAAACAAACAATAAATTTCTAAGAGTCAATATATTAAGTTAGTTTGAGACACAAAAAGTAATAAAATTAGA